TAAGGAAATAATTAATTTTCGATCAAAATATTTTTTTAATAACCTACGTATCAAACTAACTACGTTTAAAACTGCATTATGCATAATTGTATTAAAAATTGTAAGGTAAATACTTTTTGAGATCTTCAATTTCTCTTTTAACTTTAAACTCTACATAAATCCGTTCACTATTTATTTTTTATTTTTAATTTAAATTAGTTGCATTTAACACATAAAGGGAAAATGCATTATATATATATATATATATATATATATATATATATATATATATATATATATATAAAGAGAGAGTGATTATGAAAATAATAATAATTAATCAAGTTACTAGCTATTATTAATGGTTAATTATTAGTGTGTTTCAACTGCACTATTAAACATAATTCATTTTAAAATTAAATGTCAATGCAATGCATTTAATAGACTTAAAACATTGTATTTCATCTTCATTGGAGACACAACCAGAAGGAACTATTTTTCATATAGCATTTACATTTAACATTTATTGCAAATTATTTACCAGATTATTCAAAAATGTTTAAATACTTTATTTAATACATATTGCTTCTATGTATAGTGATTATGATGGACTTGACCAACAAAAATGATAATTGAATAACATGTCAACAAGTTTCACAAAAATGTATTAAATTCACCTAAGAAAATATGAAATAATAAATTCCTTTGTATTCATTATTTTTTTTTAAATTATAAAATTTATTAAGATGTATTATGCGATATTTTAAAACTAAAAGAATATAATAAACTGCATGCGTTATAAAATTAATTTACATCAAGGAAGTATGTAAAAAAGATACAGATAAAAAAAAGAAACTTTCAAAAGAAAAAAAAAACAAGAAAGGAAATTTCACATTTTTAAACATAATAAATAATGCCTTATAAAGTAAAGAATTAGAAATATTATAGTGCCTTAGCAGTTATCTTGAAGAATACAGAACATATAGAGAAAATAAATAGAAGAAGCAAAGCGTAACACTTTTCCGTTAAAGATCCTAAGACTCGCTTAGTGCCGATAAAAGGCTTCATAAGGATTAAAGAAAATATAAACCTGAAATAAGTCACTATTTTATTTCATTATTTTATATAAAATCCTATAATAACAAACTAAAACTATATACCACTCCTTATCTTTATTGTGTAATAAACTTCTGGGCATTCTAAGTGCAAGACAGAGAAGAACAAAGACGTAAAAACCAAATTTATTAGATAAAACAGAGTATAAATGTGAAATAATTCAATGCTACATCTTTCAAGAGAGTGAAGATGGTATTGACTGTTGCCGCTACGGCTGTCAATACCACTGCTACGCACTAAAATGAGCGAAAATCTTTCTTTTCCTTTCGCTATATACTAGGAAAGATGATTTTATCTAAGCTAAGAAAAAATGGGGAAGAGGGAGGATTCAAATAAAAAAAAATATTTTAAAAATTGAGGTACTCTGCTGATTTTTTTGTTATTTTTTTTATAATATTTTTTTTACCGACATGCTAACGCTGTTGTTCCTAGAATAAATATTTTGGTATGGGGGCAAAAGAAATAATATCTGCAATCTCAGAATATTTACTATTTGAATAAAAACTCGAATTACACATTGTTTTTATTGTTAAATTTGCAAAACTTCTTAACTTTATTCAACTTCATATTTTCTCCTTGTAAAGGCGCTTTATGTTATCACTAGTTTAAACCTAAAAGTAATGAACAAGATCTTGGGAGAAATATGAGTTTAATAACCTAAAATATCACTATTATAAAGGACAGAAATACAAGACAAATAAAAGTAAAAACTTTGAGGTGCAAACTAATGAAAAATTAATTTAAATATAGTCCAGGATTGGACGATGAGATGGGTGATCCTCAGTCAATGGTGCCCCAAGATTTCTATGCCGAGTAAAAACCGTTGGTTGCGAGTTGACATTTCCTTTACAAGTTTGTCCAAACAGTGAATGCATCTACATTCCATTCTGGCAAGATTTTGTGTAACTAAAAACTAAGCTAAAATTTAAAAACAAAATCTTGGATGTTAAGCAATTTTCAACTCCGAATGCATTCAACACTACATGTAGAGATATTATCCAGAGTATGTTGTAAAACTATCGAATATTTTCCTTTCACAAAACATTCTTAAAATTTGACGTTTGAGAAAATTCGGGTGCTATTGAGACATTCTGTGGGCAATGCTTGTGGTTTCAACATTTAATGCGGTAACACAATTTAAGTGTAACAGGAGAGTCTTTGTAAATATGAGTACAGTAGAACGTTGTTTATCCGAACGTTTATTATCCTGAGCGTCAAATACCGGGTTTTCTTGTCAACTACATGTACTGTATATGAAAACGTTTTCGAATAGTGCAATGATCAGCAGTTTTTTCGCATGAGGCCAAAAGTGATGGGAAAACCCAAGGTCAGGGATATTTGGGGAATTTTATTTGTCTGATTTGGAAAACATCTGCGCGGAATATTAGGTCAGCTTGTTTCCAAATTTGATCCAACAGATGGCTCGAAGAAAAGGAAAACCATGAGGGAAGCAAACGACGTTGCTCTTGTATACTGAAACGCTGTATGTTATGTGTGTATCATGTAAGAGTATACTTAAGTCCAGCAATTCACACAGTTTCTGTGGAAGCAACTGCCATGATATATTTTAGGTGGACACTGCACCACAAAAAGTTAAGAAGAGAAAATATATAATTGTTGTATAACCATACAATTAAATATATTGCAGAAGAGAAGGTAAATATCACATTTCATTTTACAATAGGTTTAACCAATTTTTAATGCAATAATAGTATGTGTAAATTCTTTGAATAATGAATAATTATTTAATTTTTTGAAGCACAGAAACTACAATTACTATCTTATTCGTCATACACTCTTCTATTCCATTGACAAAATTAGTCAAAAAATCAAAATTGTTTAGCTTAAATAAATTTTTATGTATTTTTCTAATACATCACACAATTTGAGAGGGTCCTACGATAGAAAAAAATACTCCAAAGCTAAGACAACTCGCGTGTTCATTCTTATACCCGTAATAAAAATTAGCAAGTGAAGAAAAAATGAAAAGAGAAAATGAACAATAATAGCAAAATAAAATTTTACGCTGATTTATCTCAGAAAAGAACACAAGTTTTTTTTTTTATTTTTTTAAATTTTATTTCAAATACTAAGGCTGTATTCCATTGTGCCAAATACCTTGATATTTCTTCTAACTATTGCTATAAATACATGTAAACAAATTAGTATGTATTTTTGAATTAGATTAATGCTTAATTTTTTTTAAAAAAAAAATCCTAGTTGGATTTCGATTCTATAAAATTCTAATGTTTCTATATGATTCCTAGAAGAAAATATTTTACAAATTCATCATTCATATTACCACAAAATGCGTACAGAACGTTAATATATATAGTTCAATCACTTGCAAATCAAATTTTCTTTGTATACGTAATTTATTGATGGAGAAATAGCACTATAAAACCTCTTCATGGATTTTAAAAATTTTGTTTAAAAAAATAAATTACCCTTTTGTGAAATTTGTTGACCTCTACTCTTGTTTTATAGACTATAAATACATAAGATGTAAGTAAAAAAATAGCAGGGTCGTGGATAACCTAGTGGTTAGAGCATCGGACTCCAGACTGGAAGGCTTGGGTTTGATTCCCGATGCCACCAAATACCCTCCGAGCGCACATGGAGTACGTGCTCGTTAAATCAGTGAGTTCGAAAGTCTTGTGGGTGGTCGCAGCTGAAGCCGCGAGTACAGGGTGCAGGAGAATATTTCCCTATCTTCCAGTTCCATGCCTAAATTGTGGAGGAGGAGATCGGTGGTGTCGCCATCTATCTTCCAACCTATCTCACAGGCTCTGACAACATTCATTTCTTCCCTTCGGGAATATAACTGATCTAAATCGTACTGTCACTTGTATGGTGCTCAAACCTAAGGCGAACGACAGGTGTACATCTAGCCCCTTGACACGATGAATTTCGTAGGCATTGATCTAACTACATGAGACAGGTGACATTAGAAACAACAAAAAACCAGTAAAAACTAATAATTCTGAAATTATTTTTATAAATTATGTCATATTCCTTTAAAGCCGTTAATGATTTGCGCGTACAACGTACAGACTAACGAAAGCTGGCCACAACTAGTTTGTTATTGTGAGATTATTAGTAATAATGTTTTGAAGACGTGAATTTTGTCCATGGTATTGAAATAAATCTCATCCGGAATTTCTTTGTGGAGAAGGGAAAATTTTTCATTGAAAGCAGGAATTTATATTCTTGAAAACAGTCGATAAAGAACAAAGATTGGCTAGGCTATGTGCAATTTGTTGCTTTTGAAGAAATGAAAATGGAAATATTATCCAAAAATGTCGATATTATGTATATCCCCATAGCAGTGTAAGATTTCGTATTACAACATGCATCAAATTGTGTGTGCATATATATGTGTACACTCACACAAAATACTCAACTGTTTGAAAAAGAGGCACGGACATGTAATTTTTGTAAGTTGGAGAGAAATTATTTTAAAATATATGAAATAATTTAAGCATGGAACACTTATAAAAAGCAAAGAGTTTGGGGTATTTGTGTACCATAATTATAAAATAAAAAATAGAGTGAAAAATAAAATAGAAAATTAAAATAAAACTAAGATAAAATCTGTTAAGTACTAGGCTTTGTTAGATGAACTAAAACATGTAATATAAAAAAAATTAAATCCTGCTTACATCAACATAGAAGAATTTTATTTTGGTTGCGTTTTACTAATTAGTTATAATTAATATAAATATGAGTTCACAGAATTACAATACTTAATATCCAAAAGTGACTTCGCTTGCAGTTTTCCATTTTTCTTTCTATATAGGATGCTGGACTATTTTTTTTGTTTGCTACTCTTTATTCATCAATTAAATTTAATTATTCTAAAAAAATAGTATATTAAAATATAAATCAGACATTCTCAGAAATTAGGCCATCCCTGGTGGGATTCGAAACCACCCCTTTTGAAGTAGAAGTCTAACGCGCTATTCATTGCGCTACAGGGACACAACAACCAATTTTCATTTTTATATATGCTATTGGACTGGACTATTATCCTTATTTTTTAGTATTTAATCATTTTTTAATTTAATTAATGGGTTAGTATTTTAAAAAACTGTATTAACATCCAGTGTCATCATTAGGAGCTAAAAGTTATTTAAACTGAAATTGATGATCAGGAAGTATTTTACTAACGGTTGAATATTGATAAACATATGTATGTATATATATACTCAGGAACATTGAAAAAAGCGACCCACGAAAGAAGCTAAGAATAATCGCGAAACTTTGCAAATAAGTACAGCGTAATGTGATATGCAAATGACCCAAGTTTTGTGCCTATAAGCATGCTCATACACGCCGAGGTGGCGCTACAATCAGGAAGAGGGTGCTATATAAGCCAGCGCAAATTCGAAGATTCATAAACGTGACGATTACCCGCCGATTGTAGGAATACTTTGGTAAGCGAAACATGTCAGGTAAACGTGCTAGAAGAGATTTCTCACAGCTAAGCGAGTTTGAGAGAGGCCTGATCATCGGGATGAAAACTGCAGGCTGGTCGTCGCGCCGTGTTGCTGGCCAGATGGATCGTTCAAAGTGTGCCGTTAGAAATTGCTGGGAGCAGTGGACACGAGAAGGTACCCAGGTGCGGAAAACCGGGTCTGGAATGACCAGAGAGACCACGAGGAAAGAGGATCGAAGGATCGTGCGGCAAGCACTTGTAGACCGCACAGTGACTCGTTCAACGATACGAGCAGACGTAGGCGTATCAATTGTTCCACAAAAAGTCACCTTGAAGAAGCAAATCTTAAATCTAAGCTTCAATTCAGTGCACTCCTTTTAACACCGGAACATCGGCAACTGCGTCTACAGTGGTGCCAAGCCAGATCAATGTGGAATGTCACAGATTGATAAAAGGTTGTGTTTAGTGATGAATCCCGGTTTCTTTTGGGGACTTATGATAACCGTGTACGGGTGTGGATGCTCTCTGTTGAGCGGTACAATTCCCCTTACACTATTCGTCACACTATCCGCACATCTGGTGTAATGGTCTGGGGGGGGCATAGCCTATGATAGCCGGTCCACTGTAATTGTGATGCGTGGAACCTTAACGGGCCAACGTTACGTGGATGATATTCTTCGACCCCATGTAGGACCTTTCCTAAATGGTCTCCCATGGGCAATTTTCCAGCAAGATAACGCTCGTCCGCATACAGCAAGAGTTGCTCAAGACTTCCTACGTCATTTTTAGACTCTTCCATGGCCGGCCTGCTCCTCCTATTTGTCCCCTGTAAAGCATGTGTGGGATCATCTAAAACGGCAGATGCCATCGTGTTACTCTGTACATGATTTAGAATTGGTTGTTCAAGATTTGTGGGCCCATCTGCCTCAGGACAACATAAGATGTCTAATCAACTCAATGCCGGACCGTGTGGAGGCATGTATTGCAGTTGGACATGGTCCAACGTGCTAATGGAGTTGCCCAGTATTTGTGTCGTTGCACACCTGTATTCGTTTAATTGTCTTGTTTTTAAAATCAAGTGAATCTCTCATCTGTGTCATTATGTGTATTAAATTTCATTTCAATCCGATGCTTTCTTTTTGGGTCGCTATATTCAATGTTCCTGATGGTATATATATGTATTGTATTTGGCAGCAAACGTAACTAGTTGTTATACTCACGAAGTAAGTCTTCCTATTTACCTTATTGCATCGACTTTAAATTTATACTGTGAATACTCTAGTATACTATAATTTTATCATTATATTTTAATAGTATATTGATTTTATTTGTATTTTTAGTATTTAAATTTCTTCTTATACTATTATTTCCTTTCCCCTTGGCACATTGTATAGACAAATTACAGGTGAAGGTTGGATAGCCCTAAAAATTGTTTAAACCTGCAATCTTGGTTCCTAAGGTCAGGAGTTTGTTATTGCACCACTGTGCTTAATACTTCCTATCTTGAATAGTTATACATAGGTTCTATAGCTATCTGTGTATTTATATATTTGTGGATTATATATATATGTATATATATGTATATATATATATATATGTATATATATATGTATATATATATATATATATATGTATGTATATATATATATATATATATATATATATATATATATATATATATATATATATATATATATATATATATATATATATATATATATATATATATATATAGAGTGAACTAATAGTAATAGTAGGAACAGAAAAAATTGCCCTTTTTCGGAACATTTAGGGCAAAAAAAGTTGACCACTTAAGGATTTGTCAATGAACTCATTACATTCTCTCATAAATGTGATTTCATGTGATATAATTTTTAAAAAATCGGTAAAATATTTCATTACTCAAACGTAAACAATTTAAAAGTAAAATAATAGCCATTTGTAATTTAATCTAATCCTTGTAGAATCAGGCAATCAATTTAATAGGAAGCAAAAGATTTGTTTGAGAATTAAATTAATAATCCACTTACAGAGCATGGGCCATATCCTCACGATTCTAGCATTCGATTCTGCTTTTGATCATAAAATTTGTATTGCAACTTTGTTCAATTATTTAGTTTAGTTAATAATACAGGTCTAAACTAGTTTTCATTCGGAAAGATAACATTAATCGATGTATTTAGAGATTTCATCGCAATTTTGGATGAAGTGTTTAAATTAGATTGTGTGCATCAGCGTTCACTTTCTTTTACATTGCATTACACCCTATCTCACTTCTAGTAAATTAGTTTCGTCATTTAATGCGTATCGCTGGACGATCAGCTCAAATTTGCTTGATTAGATTGATTACACATTCGCTGATAATGTAACTAAACAAGTGCGCTGTTTGTACAAATCCAGATGAAATGGCATTTACTTGGATTTACAAATATCTTATGCATTTTGGATAAACGTTTATTTCTACCACATGGGAACAAATTTAAACCGCTTTATATATATATATATATATATATATATATATATATATATATATATATATATATAAATAAGTAATATAAAAAAAAGTAAGTCGATTCCTACTTAGGTCAACAAAGAAATTTTCTGTTTTAGTTATTTTTTATTAAATAGTTACAATATAAATATGTATTTACATATGACATAGTCACAATATTAAATGACAAAATAAAATTAACTTTCCTTTGCTATTTTCCTTTCAAAATATATATTATTGGACATTTCGGTTTGTTTGTTGCTATTTATAAATTAATTAAATTTAATTATTCCAATAAAATAGTATGGTAAAAATAAATCACACTCTCAGAAATTAGCGCCATCCCAGGAGAAATTCGAACCCATGCCCTTTGGATTATAAATCCAATGCACTATTAATAGCTCTAGAAGTACACAACAAATGATTTTCCTTTCTATATATGCTGTTGGGCGATTATTTTTCTTTGTTACTATTTATTCATTTTTTATAATTTAATAAATCAGTTAATATTTAAAAACTGTATTAACATCAAATACCATCCACTACAAGTTTTAAAAAATGTACTTTAAGAATGGATGAAAAGAGAAATTATTTTATTTAAGATTGAAAATTTGAGCAAGATATATATATATATATATATATATATATATATATATATATATATATATATATGTCATGCCCCATGCCTGGTGATAAAATGAGAAGGGCATCATCTCTGTAATAAGGTCTTTAATTTCTTCAATCAGATAAAATCCAACATGGCGGCCCTTTGGCGCGCAACCGAGTAGAACAATAGACAACAATTCGTCGAGGAATCACCAGCCAAGCCTTTTCGAGTATGCGTTCTCCTTCGTCATGAATAGGCGTTTTCTTTTGGGCGTCTGGACTGTAAAATCAGTCTTCAATCCCATATCGTGAGAGTCTATGATGCTGGGCATGGCAAAAGTGGTGTTTTCCATTGTGCTGAGTGACATTTTGGTAATTGGTCGAGCGATGGAATCCGGGAGGCGTGGCTTATGTTCTTCATCTGGGTGGTGAGTTTTTGGCTTGGTTGAGAGCTAAGAGGTTGCTCTCTCTCCTTCGTCAGCGTAATTTCAGTTGCGTGATTTGGTAAACATCTACGCGGATTTGGTAAACATCTGGATTGTATGCGATGCAGAAGACTGTGGATTTCAAATACTAAATGATGACGAGATTGTGACTTTTGTGCAAGAAGAATCCGAACCTGTCGACGATGAAACGGATGAAGACAAGGACAATAACAGTAACGAAAGTAGAAAGGTGTCCATCAAATGCTGAAATGTTTTCTTCTCAAGAGAATAAAAGAACTTGCAGCGAAAAAAGGAAAGTGTACAAAGATACAGCGAAAAATGAATGATTATTTTCCACAATGAAGGTAAAATTGAGACAATTTGTAACCATTTTGCTTTTTCTTCAAGCTCGTTTCCAGCATGTGAAGATTTTTAATACTCGTATAGTGTCTGGTTTCATATACTGCATGGATCGCTTTTGGATTTTGGTTATCCAAACAATCGTGTATCCGAACGGGTCCGGACCCAATTGATTGGGATAAACGAAGTTCTTCTGTATAATGAATAAATACATTACTAGAAGGACATTAACGGAATAATTATGCATTTAAACATTTGTCTATTAAAATGGAAACATTCTTCAATGATTTAAGTGGATTTGTTGTAGTAATTTCACTTTGGGTCAATTATTTTGGACGACAATACCATAATTTATTTATAATTAATAAAAATTAATTAATTAAAACTAATTATTTAAAGAATTACAAATACAGCGCCATTGGCATCGTTTTTGGCGACGTGTCAAAACTTGAAAAAAAATTTTCTTACATTTTAAAGCGCTTATTTGAGCTGAAATTTTCTATACACTATTGTTTTGCGTAAAAATACGATAATTTAATTATAACTAATTAAAATTAATTGACTGAAACTAGTTATTTAAAGAATTACAGATACAGCCACGTTGGTTTCATTTTTAGTGACTTGGGTTAAAACTTAAAAAAAAAAAATTCTTACGTTTTAA